AGACTGAGTCTCACTCTGTTTCCCAGGCTGGAGTACAGTGGCGTGATCTCAGCTCACTGCAACCTCTGCATCCAGTTTCAAGCGATTCTTGTGCCTCAGCCTCCCAAGTAGCTGGGACTACAGGCCTGAACCATCACACCCAGCTGATTTTTGTATTTTTAGTCGAGACAGGGTTTTACCATGTTGGCCAGGCTGGTCTCGAACTCCTGACCTCAGGTGATCCACCCACCTTGGCCTCCCAAAGCGCTAGGATCACAAGCATGAGCTACCATGCCCAGCCCATCATGGTTTAATTATAGAATTTTTATAAATTCAGATTTAAAAGATTTGTTTTGGCTGGGCGTGGTGGTTCATGCCTGTAATCCCAGCATTTTGGAAGGTTGAGACAGGATGATCACTTGAGGCCAGGAGTTTGAGACCAGCCTGAGCAATATGGGGAGACCCCCATCTCTACAGAAATTAGCCAGGCATGGTGTCTCATGCCTATAGTCCCAGATACTCAGGAGACCAAGGTGGGAAGATCACCTGAGCTCAGGAGGTTGAGGTTGCAGTAAGCCAAGGCTGCCACTCCACTCCAGCCTAGGTGACAAAGCATGAGGGCCTGCCTAAAAAAAATTTTAAAAAGTAAAAAGTAAAATAAAAGATTTTTTAAAATCACTAGTTAACAATATACTTATCTATATAAAATATATTAGAATTTTTAGAAATATAAATTATCTGAAAAAATGACTTTAAGATTTAGATTATAAAACATAAAAGCAAAGAAAGAAGTCATTGAAGAAAAAAGATTGGTCGATTAGACGTTGTAAAATTAAAACTTAGGTGTGAAAAGATCTTATAAAATTATAAGGCAAGGCTGGCAGGGTGGCTCATGCCTGTAATCCCAGCACTTTGGGGGGCTGAGGCGGGCGGATCACCTGAGGGCGGGAGTTCGAGACCAGCCCAACCAACATGGAGAAACCCTGTCTCTAGCCAGGCGTGGTGGTACATGCCCATAACCCCAGCTATTTGGGAGGCTGAGGCAGAAGAATTGCTTGAACCCGGGAGGCGGAGGTTGCAGCAAGCCAAGATCGCGCCATTGCATTCCAGCCTAGGCAACAAGAGCGAAACTCCGTCACACATACACACACACACACACACAGACACACAAGATTACAAACACAAGATTACAAGGCATAAAATAGGTAAAAAGCGTGAAACTCCGTCACACACACACACACACATAT